GATTTTTAAATAAATAAATTTGAAAAAAAAAAAAGCCAGAAGTGGCGCTGTGGCTCAAGTAGTAGAGTGCTAGCCTTGAGCTGAAGAGCTGAGGGACAGCACCTAGGCTCAGAGTTCAGGCCCCACGACCGGACCAAAAAAAAAAAAAATTTCAAAATCATAAAGCAGTCAATATTTTTGTTTCTGGACTTAACTTTGTAAAACAAAAGAGAAAACAAAGATATATGACTTCCACAGGGATTAAGAGCAGCCTAGATTACAGACCTGAAAGAACTAAGAAAGCCAGGAACATTGGTTCTTTTCTGTTTTCTGCTCAGTAGACAAAAAAGAAGCAAAAACAAAGATCTCTGACTATTTTGAACTCATAATTGTAAAAACAAGCTTTTGTTTCAGCTTATAAAAAATGGATAAAATATAGAAATTAGCACGTGTCTATTTCAAGTAAGGAGGTAAGACCTAGTCTTTTTTGGAAAAAATGAGGATATATTTCCTTTGAGCATGGGATACAAAAAATGTTTTTGCTCTAAACAAATTAGATATTGAATTTTCTTTCTTTCTTTCTTTTTTTTTGGGGGGGGGGTCCGGTCGTGGGGCCTGAACTCTGGGCCTGGGCGCTGTCCCTCAGCTCTTCAGCTCAAGGCTAGCGTTCTACCACTTGAGCCACAGCGCCATTTCCGGCTTTTTTCTTTTTGCTTATGTGGTGCTGAGGAATGGAACCCAGGGCCTCATGCATGCAAGGCAAGGTCTCTCCCACTGAGCCACCTTCCCAGCCCTAGATATTGAAATTTTTAAGTAGTTATTATTTACAATTACATCAACTGTTTTGAAAAATGGATGCCTCTCTTGTGTTTCACATTTAAATTAATAAAATACAATGAAAATGTAAATGTAAATGGTGATAACAAGAATGAATGGTCTTTAAGATAGCTCTCTCTAGAGAAGACCTATAAGATTGAACTGTCAGCTCCGGGCCTACAGAGTGGTTGCTTCCCTCTCGAACTCCATTGGTCCAGCCACCATGATAAGTGCCAGCAGAACCGCAGCAGCCCATCTCATGGGTGCTGCAGCCTCCCGGGGCCCCACAGCTGCCTGCCACCAGAATGGCTGGAATGGCTTTAGTCATGAGGCTTTTAGATTTGTTTCTAGGAGGGATTATGCATCAGAAACAATCAAGGGTGCAGTGGTTGGGCAGTACTAACTCCTGTGTGGCAGTCATGGAGGGCAAACTAGCAAAGGTGCTGGAGAATGCTGAAGGGGCCAGAACCACCCCTTCCGTTGTTGGCTTTACCGCAGATGGTGAACGTCTTGTTGGCATGCCAGCAAAGCGACAAGCTGTCATCAACCCAAACAATACTATCTATGCCACCAAACCTCTCATTGGCTGAAGATATGATGACCTTGAAGTACAGAAAGACCTGAAGAATGTTCCTTTTAAAATTGTCTGGGCCTCTAATGGTGATGCCTGGGTTGAGGCTCATGGAAAATTCTATTCTCCGAGCCAAATTGGAGCATTTGTGTTATGAAGATGAAAGAAACTGCAGAAAATTATTTGGGACATGCAGCAAAAAATGCTATGATTACCGTCCCTGCTTATTTCAATGATTCACAGAGACAGGCCACTAAGGATGCTGGCCAGATATCAGGACTAAATGTGCTTTGGGTGATTAATGAAGCCACAGCTGCTGCTCTGGCCTGTGGTCTAGACAAATCTGAAGACAAAGCCATTGCTGTGTATGATTTAGGTGGTGGAATTTTTGATATTTCTGTCCTGGAAATTCAGAAAGGCGTATCTAAGGTGAAATCCACCAATGGGAATACTTTCTTAGGTGGTGAAGACTTTGATCACATTGTAAAGGAATTCAAGAAAGAGACAGTGGTTGATTTTACCAAAGACAACACAGCACTTCAGAGGGTACAGAAAGCCACTGAGGAGCTAAGCGTGAACTCTCTTCATCTATGCAGACTGACATTAACTTGCCCTATCTGACTATGGATGCTTCTGGACCTAAGCATTTGAATATGAAGCTGACATGGGCTCAATTTGAGGGAATCGTCACTGATCTTATCAAGAGGACTATTGCTCCTTGCCAGAAAGCTATAAAGGGTGCAGAAGTCACCAAGAGTGATATAGGAGAAGTGATCCTTATTGGTGACATGACTAGGATGCCTAAGGTTCAGCAGACTGCAAGATCTTTTTGGCTGAGCCCCAAGTAAAGCTGTTAATCCTGATGAGGCTGTGGCCATTGGAGGTGCCATTCAGGGAGGTTTGTTAGCTGGTGAAGTCACAGATGTGCTACTCCCCTGTCTCTGGGTATTGCGACTCTAGGAGGTGTGTTTATCAAAGTGATTAACAGGAATACCACACCAGGTATTTTCAACTGCTGCTGATGGACAGACTCAAGTAAAGATTAAAGTATGTCAGGGTAAGAGAGAGATGGCTGGAGATAACAAGCTTCTTGGTCAGTTTACTTTGATTGGAATTCCTCCAGCCCCTCCTGGAGTCCCTCAGATTGAAGTTACATTTGACATTGATGGCAACGGAATTGTACGGGAGCAGCAGGTTGTAATCCAGTCTTCTGGTGGGTTAAGAAAATATGATACTGAAAATATGTTTAAAAATTCAGAGAAGTATGCGGAGGAAGACTGTCAAAAGAAGGAACGAGTTGAAGCAGTTAACATGGTTGAAGGAATTATTCATGACACAGAAACTAAGATGGAAGAATTCAAAGACCAACTGCCTGCTGATGAGTGCAACTAGCTAAAAGAAATATCCAAAATGAGGGAGCTCTTGGCTCGAAAAGGAAACCGGAGAAAACATTAGGCAGGTAGGATCTTCCCTTCACTGAAGCTCTTTGAAATGGCATACAAAAAGATGGTATCTGAACAAGACAGCTCTGGAAGTTCTGGCACTGGGGAACAAAAAGAAGATCAAAAGGAGGAGAAACAGTAATAGTTACAATACATTTTGGAATGGAGAGGACATCATACTATGAAGCTTGGGAGTGAAGAGACTTCTGAACAGAAATGGGCAAATGTCAGTCTTTTTACTGTGTTTTTACAGTATTCTAGATATAATTTCCTTAATGTAAATTTAGTGTTAATTAGCTAATCAATCATTAATGAGTGATTAATCTAACAGTAGGAAGTTCACAATGTTCTGTCCCTACCCTGTCATTTTTAAGCATGTAAAGGGGTAGGGAGACAGTTTATTGATCACTATAACGATCAGTTTGTGCTTTAGTGGCCATATTTTCAAGGGGTGAAAACATTTCATACAGAATGAAGGTAGGCTGTCATGTACCTAGCCTGAGACCATATGGAGGTTAAGATCCTTTCAGTTGGCCAAAAGTGATAGTGTAATGAATGACCTGTTTTGTAAATGTGGTCCTTCAACTGAGGCCTTTGCAAGGCAAGCCAGCTAGCTATGCCCCATTTGTAGGTGCAGAAGCTAGGTCAATGGAAAACTAAGCTATTTATGTTAGGTTAGAGCTTTTAAAACTAAGGTAGAGATAAAATCCTGTTCCCAAGGCATACTTTTCTAGCTATTCTCTTGGCCTGTATCTGGCACCTACATCCTTGATGATTGTTCTTTTTGATCCAGTCTGGATTTTTAAATAAATAAATTTGAAAAAAAAAAAAGACTGAACAGTCAAGACAGACCTTCACTTAAGGAAAAAATGAGAAGGAACTCATCAAATCTTAACAAGAACTCATGACAGCTTTAATAGACTTAGTAAGAAACATTCTTATTTTCTTTTACTACAAATTCAAGTTTGTAATGAACAGAGGGAAAAAAAACACTATTTGGAGATTTAAAAATTCTACTTATCAAGGACTATGCCCTAAAAGCTAGTCTATATTACTAGCCTCATCCATAGAGTAGTGATTATATATTAGGTAGAATGCTTTTGTCTTCAGTCCCAGTTAGTAAAAATCTAGAAAAGACAAGCATAAAAGTCTTTAGTTTCCAAGCATTTTTGAAAAACTTAGCTGAACCTGATCTGGTATCATAGCAGTGGATTGTATCTATAATGATGGGCACCCATAGCACTGTAACTTAATAGGTAGATGGTACACTAGGATGATAAGCAATAGTGTCCCCATGTAGTCAGCTCTGCCAGCTATGCTGACACCCAGAATCTGAGACATAAGGACTTGGCAATGTTTGGGATAATCTGATTCACTGCAGGTTGTATGTTAAGAATTCTAGTCCTCTGCTCACTAATTTTCATGTATAGGCATTTGCTTTATGTGATCACCAAACAGAAGATGTTAACTCCCATCAGTATTGAAGCTATTTGCTGGTGAAGGAACACATGACTGAGTGGGAAAAAAAAAAAAAAAGGAAGAATGGAGTTCTAATTCTTTCCCTCCACCCAGACTTACCGAAAGGTTTTAATTCATGGCAGCCATGGGGAGGGCCACAGTAAACAAAGGGATGATCCTGTCTGGATAAGAGTATTTGCCTGTTTGCAGGACCTGCTTCATATTCATTTAAAAGTCTGATAGCAACCAGATGTCCCACAATGATGATAAATTTAATTTATTTCCAATTTCTCAAACTCTTCTACAGATTCAGGCAGCACAGTCACAGCCATTAGCTCACTGGGCTTGGATGCATCATTGAAGGAATGGAATTGATCAGGCAGATAGATTGCAGGGCATGGTTAAGAGTCTCCTAAGAAGGGAGATGGCAGGAATCCAGACATCAAATACATGATGAAATGGCCATTTCCATTAAGGGAACATCACATCACAGATATTAATTAGGAGGCACTACAATAAAGTTAAGTGGATGGGGGAAGAATGCTAAAAGTCACCTTTAATGTCCTTAGCTTGAGGTAACTGCAGATCTGAAGTTGTGTCAAAGATACGCAATTTTCCATTCATTTCACAATAGCTACTGGTAAGTTAAAGACCAGAGTAACTCCAGAATGATTCTTCCTTAGACTGGGTACAAACTCACCAAAACAATGGAATTACAGGACAAGAATTAACACCAGGCTATTTAAATGATGGAAAGTAACTTGTTCAAAGCCTCTTAATTAAGGTAGTATGACATCAGGAAGAATGGTGGCAAGTAAAAACCTTTGAAAATTCTCCCTTCTATAAAAGCAACTAGGACACTATGAGGATTAACTGAGGAAATTAGTGTTGGTTTAGCTTAAAACAACCCAGGAGTGTTTATTTCAGAAAATCTGGCTGAATCTTGGTGAAAACAGCAAGCTAGTGGCATTCTAACTTTCCCTATTTCCCATCACACTCTCTGTAGCTCTGTAGCAGCCTTAAAAACCAACTGTTTTAAAGTGTATGGAACGAATCAGCAGCCACCAGAGGAGGCAAAGACCACTAAAGCTCCTTCAGAAGCCCATTCTCAGGGAAACATCATTATCAGACCTGACTTGGTCCTCTGGAAGAAGCAGACCTCACTCAAGGCTATGTTTAGTTAACTCATTGTGAAAAGCTTAATCCCCAAGAGTTAGATGAAAACAAGCACAGAAAACTGCTTAACACCGAGATTGCCTGAGGAGGTAGTTATCATTTGGGCAAATAATAAGCTAGACAAAAGCTTCAAAGGGAAAGGAACAATGTCCCCAAGGAGCTTAGAAAGTTTTAACATATTTCTGATAATCTAAAGACCATAAGCACATCTAGGGATATGCTCAGGATAGAGCAAAGGACCACAGCAATCTCACTGACTGACCTTGAGGTTCTACAGCAGCACGAAGTGAAGGCTTATGCTGAGTTATCAACTACCTAGTGGAGAGTTGAAGTGAGATCCAGCACAGAGCACTTTAGCAAAAACTGGAAGTTATTGGATCCACATAGTTACAGAAATCTATACAGTCATTACCTGATTACTATTGTAACTAACGAGAAACACTGGTGACAATATAGAAGAATACACTTTACAGAATTCCATTAGGAAAGTCAATAAATAAAAAAGAACTGAGATAAGAGGAAAACCTGATTTGCAGGGTCACAGTAATATATTATTTTAAATGTACCAATTTCCAGCAACAATCAACAGTAACGGGGCTGGGAAGGTGGCTCAGTGGTAGAGCACTTGCCTTGCATGCATGAGGCCCTGGGTTCGATTCCTCAGCACCACATAAGCAAAAAGAAAAAA